AGGCGATAAATAATGACCGGTCCCTTATCTTTGAAATCTGTTTCACATTCGTAGCTTGCGTACAGGCTATCTGACTAGATGGGGCGAAGAGGGGGGTGGAAAGAATGGGAGAGAGTGAAAAGGGGGTAAAGGGTGAAGAGGAGGTAATAGAAACATGTTTTCCTCGAATCTTACTTTTTTTAAAAGAAGGAGGTGAGGGGTCGCTTATTCGGGGGGGGGCTCTTGCTTGACATTAGGGTCAAGAGGGTGGGCGCCTATTAGGGGGGTGGGGGCTGATTGCTCATGTTTATTTAAGAATGCTGAAAACGCACAAGCTTGGTATTAAAGTAAGTGATTTGAATGAAGGATTCGCTTTATACATGTCATGTAGGTGTGGAGAAGCTTAATTAGAAGCAGTAATTCAGACGTTGGCCTTTGGTATATTTTTTGGTGCGAAAGGAAATTACCAACTTAATAAAGTAGAAAACGTACTTATGCCCACTTATATAACAGAAATATTTAATACTGCCCCGAAATGATTTAATCTGAGGAACGCTGATTTTAATATTCCACGTTTTCGCCCAGTACACTATGGAAAACATTCTCTACGATACTGTGGGCCCCATCTTTGGAATAATTGGAACAAAATTACATGATGGAGAGAATCCTAATTTTATGAGTTTTAAAAACAGTGTTAGGAGCAAAGACCGATCACTCAATAAATACTTGTAAAAACTGTGATATATGCCGCTAGCCTCGCTATTAATTTTATATTTTATCATATATTTGATATGCTCTTAGCTTAGTTTACTAAGTTCTTATACTTCATTTTCTTAATCATTCACAGTATCTATCTATTCTATATATTATAAATTGAAATGTAAACAATTTTGACTTTGTGTAGCTTAGGTATATTTTAATGCATAAAGAGTGTCTTCAATTAGTTTCTCCAAGGTAAATACTAATGGCACTTTGATCAAAGTCCTTCATTCATTCAGACATTCATTCAGACATTCATTCATTCATTAACATATGCTAATATCGATTTGTTTTGGGTACAATGTACTCTTATTCAGGAGATACTTTTGCATTGAATAAAAAGCCTGGAATTCCTGATGATCACGATTGGGTGCCTTTGCTGCTCATGCTTAAGCCACGTCAAACCTTTTTGTATAGCTAAAGATAACTTTATTGTGAATAAAATAATTTGGATTCTATTATTTCATATGTACAATTTAGA